CAGGATTGCCATGGCAAAAGCTGCATTTAGCAAGAAGAAGAATCTTTTTACCAGCAAATTGGACTTAAATTTGAGGAAGAAACTAGTGAAATGCTACATTTGGAGCATAGCTCTGTATGGGGCTGAAACATGGACACTTAGGGCAGTAGATCAGAAACATCTGGAAAGTTTCGAAATGTGGTGCTGGAGAAGGATGGAGACGATCAGTTGGACAGATTATGTGAGAAATTAAGAAGTGTTAATCAGAGTCAGTGATCAGAGGAATATCCTACACGAAATAAGAAAACGGAAGGCTAATTGGATAGGTCATGTTTTACGCAGAAACTGCCTTCTAAAAGAAGTTATTGAAGGAAAGATAGAGGGGCGGATAGAAGTGACAAGAAGATGAGGAAGAAGACGTAAGAAGATGCTGGATGACCTTGGGGACAGAAGAGGATACTGTCATTTGAAGAAGAAAGCTCTAGATTGCATTAAGTGGAGGAATTGTTTTGGAAGAGACTGTGGACCTGTCGTCCTGACAGATTACTGATGATGATGATACTTCAAGATAATGGTCTAGGCTCTCATTTGATGCACTCACAAGATCTAGAAATTCTTCTGGTAAATGATCTTGGAAATAATCAGCTGTTACTAGACATTTTGTATGGTAGTAACTTATTATCAAATGCAAACACTGAAGATGTCAAAAGAACTTTTTACTTTATTTTTAGAAAGAGACATTCTCATTCTCATGATGAGAAAATAACAGTTCCTGATATTTTTTGGAGCCAGTGGCAAGTCTGAATTTAAATCCTCAATAGAAACATCTACTCCACATTAGTGGCTGGGATTTAAGTCCTGCAGCACAGATGGGTTAATTACATGCACACACACGTTTATCGCTGTTGGGGGCTTCCTCGGATTACCTGCAAATTCCTACCCAAAAATCATATTGTTTTACATGAGAATTTCTCCTCTTAAAACATATGATCCCTTCCAGTTGGCTAGCTGACCTCACCTATCCCTTATGCAACAAGCAAAACCTTGCCACAGAATATACACCATGAATATTTGTTGCCACGGACTTCAAGCTGTGAACATTGTGGTTTTCTTGGTGAATCTGTTGTTGACAGAAGGTGTAGAATTTAAGGGGGCAGGGGAATAAGAGTTACCTGAGAGATTAAATAATAAGAAGAATATTAGACTTGTACAGAGGCCGAGACTTACCAAGTGCTGATTGTGGTGGATAGAATCTTAGAAGAACATTTCGAGAGCTGCCTGGGATCTTAGTCACACCTGGCTGATTTGGATTTCTTTTCCAGTGTTTCATGATGTGCGAGAAGGAAAGCTGCATGTGCTCCTCTACAGTCTGTGGCAGAAAAGGCACAGAGAAATCATGATTACTGTACTGTCAGGCTGGTTCGCATCAGGTTTATGAAAGGCACACCTTGACTCCTTGAAACACAATTCTGGTCTGTTCCCTTCTCTTCTTAAAGTATGCCAAAAACTGGATGACTTGAGAAAAAACTGTAATGAGCGTATGGTGTCTCACTTCTCTCTACAACTTTCTCTGACACATTCTTCACTCCAACACATTCATCATGTTATGCTCAGAAATGTAGTCCATTTTCCTATACAACTGAGATGTGCTGACAAATTTTAGTGAAATCTCCCAATAAAATATACTGTCACGTGTTTAGTGTGTCACGCGACAAATTCACATGGGTCTCGGATTAATCTTTATTGGGCATTCACTCTTACACACCGTACAATTGTTATCACCTTAATTGTATTCTGCAGTGGGTATCTTCCAACTGTCTTGTATGGTGAGTAGGTTCCAACTGTGCTCTATGAAGGCTAGATCTCAACTGTGGTCCTGTAGCTCTGTCACTCTTGACTTATGTAGGTGTTCTGCGGACCGGATACGAGACACCATTTGCCAAGGTTCGATCTCATTTGTTTGGCAATCCGTTGCTTCGGGCACGATCTCTAAAGTGTTTCGTCTCATCCGTTGGTACTCATCGGCCTTCTGTTGTTCAGCTCCGGGGAAACGTGTTCGTAGTTTCAGCACTGTTTGCGCAGCGGCCCATTGCTATTGCATTGCCATGGGAGTATTTACTCCAAACACATTACACTGGCCCCTTCTAAAGGTTGTTCATCCCGAACAGCCTGATGGTGCATCCTTGGTTTCGTTTCCTAAGGTGTTCATCTTCCTCGTGTTACCTCCGCCTTTTCTTCGGTGTTTTGCCTTCCTTCCAACCACCCGCCTTCTTTCAGAGTGCTCGCCCCGAGCACTTAGAAGGTCCAGCGGTTGTTGGTCCCATTGTCTCGCATTTATTCTTCACTTTCATTCTCCATTCATCCTTGCTGGGGAGGCCGGTACTTCTACGTTACCGGTTCCTCCCATACGGGCAGTTTCCTTTCTTCTGTTTTGGAGGGGGTCGACCCCTGTCCAATTTTTGGTGCCCTGTAATCTGCTGGAAATTCCTACTGCTTGTTGCCTGATCTCCAGGCTGTTCCCTCGTTCCCCGGATGCAGCCTCTGTCTTGTGTATTAATCCTTTACTCCACTGCTAAGCGGCCTCCGTAGTCTAGGGGTAACGTTTCCACCTCATGACTCAAGGTATGCGGGTTCAAACCCAGCGGAGGTCGTGGAATTTTTAAGGGCGGAAAAATTCAGGGAACAAGTCCTCCAGGAGGGACTTTAAGCCGTGGGTCCCATGTTGCAGATTTACGGCACGTAAAAGATCCTCATGTCTCTAGGAGACCTCTGAGCAAAATTAGGCAACAAGTTTCCCACCCAAGTAGTTTCCAATGCCTCTGGTAGATGGGGGAAATATTAGGTACCGAGGGCCGACCTCGTTGGCTGAACGGGGCTGATAGCACGCACCAGTACCGATAGGGTATGGTGACAGTAGAAATTAAAGGGAGACACACAATGGACCAATAACTGGTCTAAGTGCATGGGGAAACCCACCCCCTATAATAATAATAATAATAATAATAATAATAATAAATAATACTCCACTGCTGCCGTCCGGTTCCACCTGAAGTCTCTGCCCTCTGGGAGCTCCTCTTGCAACACTGTTCCTGGTCTGGTTGTTTCCGATTATGTGTCCCCTGCGCCGTGCCACTGCTGCAGGGCGGGACTTGTTCGGCCCGAGGATGTCTCTCATGCGCTGTGCCACTGTTGCGTGACGGGACATCCTAATGTCGGTTAGTGTTTTCTGTGCCACTTTCGCACGGCGTGTTGTCCTCCTGCGGGTGACGGCCAATTTCTTCTGGGGTTCGCGATTTTTCTGTATCGAATCCTTCGCTTTCTGGCGGTGGCGCTCCGTGGCCAGTTTTCGGTCCCTGCACCTTTTCTTCTTCGGTTCTCCAACCGGCATTACTTTGGCGTCTTCTACGGGTACCTCTTCTTTCTGTGCCACCTCAGGTCTCCTGTCCAGTAAGGTCAGCTTCTCTCCTTCTTGACGTGCCTCCATTTCTTTATCTTTATGCCATTTTCGGCCTCTGTCTTCTTGTGGCTATCGTTCCCCCACTTGTCTGTCATGGCGGCCATCTCTTCTCGCCATGCTTTCATTTCGGCCTTTCTTTCTTCCTTGTCGGCTCTGAATTCCTTCAGCAGCAGTTCCATCATCTGCTGTATCTCCATTTTAGCATGTGTGTAAGTCCAATCTTAAATTCGCTTCAGACTCCGAACTGATCCTGATTCTAACATCAGTTGTCACGTGTTTAGTGTGTCACGCGACAAATAAATTCACGTGGGTCTCGGATTCAGCGAATCTTTATTGGGCATTCACTCTTACACACTGTACAATTGTTATCACTTTAATTGTATTCTGTGGTGGCTATCTTCCAACTGTCTTGTATGGCAACTAGGTTCCAACTATGCTCTATGAAGGCTAGATCTCAACTGTAGTCCTGTAGCTCTGTCACTCTCGACTTATGTAGGTGTTCTGTGGACCGGATACGAGACACCATTCGCCAAGGTTCGATCTCATTTGTTCGGCAATTCGTTGCTTTGGGAATGATCTCTATAGATTACAGTGGTAATGTGTTTCATCTCATCCGTCGGTACTCAACAGCCTTCTGTTGTTCATCTCTGGGGAAACGCATTTGTTGTTTCGGCACTGTCTACACAAAGGCCCACTGTTATTGCGTTGCCATGGGAGTATCTACTCCAAACCCGTTACAATATTCAGCAGTTCTCAAGTCATTACATGTGGCCAGAAAGACATGGCAAAGCTAACAGACACATTCTTGCAACTTTTCATTGCAAACATGTCAGAAGTTATAGCAACATGACAGGAACATTCTTGAATGGCACAAGTTACACAGAACATAATGATGCAATGCAGTTCTTAGTCTGTTGCTGGGCAGGGGAAAACCCTGATCACACTTACTGTAAGGTTAAAATGCTTTGTGTTGAAGAACATAAGGGTGCTTAGCAGAACATGGGGTGAGTGGGCTCCCAGCTGCTTGCTCTCCCACAGATGTTCTTCCTCCACTCTTGTAACAATGTACTCTGCAACACAATCAAATTCAAGTTCATGAAAGAACTTACAGTGCCAAATTTCATTTAAACACTTTCACACAAGGAGAATACTAGCAGGAATTATAAATTAGAGCTGATATCTATGATACTCAGGCCACAGAAAGAGGTTCCAGGGATGGTAGGAATAGCAGTGCTTGAGGTTTCCACCTTTATGCCTACTACTGTATTACTCTTTGGACTGGACAATCAGACGAAATCCCGTGCCACTAGTGAAGGTTATCATTGCCAACATTAATGATAACAAAATGAATAGATGAATGAAGGCTAATACCATATTACTTCAAGTGCAAGACGCTCTTGAATTTAAGACGCACGCAGTTTTTGAATCTGGGTTGGGGGGGAGGGAGTTAGAAAGGTGCATATTCCTCAAATTTAAGATGCAACTCAATTTTACAACAGGAAAAAATGTGTGTCTTATATTCACAGTAATATGGCATATGGAAGGAGAGTGGAAGGGAAGTGTACAGTTCAGGTAATGTGAACAGGGAACACTATATGGGACCTTTTCGCTTGGTTCTCAGCAGAGAAACAACATACAGACACAACAGATGAGGAGGTGTGGTTTTTGGAAAAAGGCTATGTCCTTACCTTAGACTAAAAGATTATTTTTGGACAAATATTTATGTTAGCACGACTCTGTATAATATTTCAGTCATAGCAGGATAAAATTTGCAGATCAGGTGTTATAAAAAAATTAAATATTTAGTATATCATCTGCCATCTACAGAGGGCCACATTTGTTATCTGCAGTGAAATTTTCATTGTCAACAGTATTCATTTTAACGCTAGAGTAAAGGCATGGCTCCTCAATGTTTATTTTGCCTTCCTACTTACGTGAGTCATTGTACAGGGCTGTAAACTTCTTGGCTACTTCATCTAAACACTCCGTGAATACATCATAATAAGAGTCTGTGAAGATATTATCTATTCTCCCATTCTCAAACAAATACTGCTGAATTCCTGCAAACAGACAAAATATTCACTACAAGTACAAAATGTTTATGATATTGCCATTCTTAGCAAACCAAAGTAATCTGACATGCAACGCTAATGGAAGAAATGTAAGAGGAACAGAAAAATAAATCATAACATTATGATCTTGTGGAATGTGGCACCATGTAGTCTGCTACACAAACACCAACCTGTTGCCTAATCAGGCTGAAGTGTTCTTCCAAAATGTTGGTACCCATGTGCCAAACACAGTGTCACATTACAGAAGACTGTAATCTCAATATTAATCCCTGTGAAAATCTCAAAAAAATATATCTGATCTAGTATGTAGGATTTGAAGTTTCAACAGTGGTGACTATGAAGAATGTTGTCTTCTGGGATGTGGTACCATGTAGACATTGTGTGAACTAATGTTCCTCATTCGCGGATTTTTCTAGCCTGAAGATGGAGGGGATATATTCCTCTGAAATGATAGTCCACATAAGATCTACACAGCGCCACATCCCAGAAGACGGCATTCTTCCTGATCTAGTATGTTTGTATTTCATAGAAAACAAATTCAATTTTAAACACTCTAATCGCAAGAATAACACTGGCAAATCTCGAAGCTCCAAAGACTGTTGACTAACACTGTCCAAGCAGCTGTACCACATCTGCAAGATGTTTCATGACACCCTTAGACTCTGGAAGGACTTCAAATTGTCATCAACAGATGGCAGCCTTGTGCTTTTCTGCAATCTTGCTTCGACTAAAGAATGCATTTTACTCACCAATATATACCAACAAAATTAAAAATAAGGTAACACTGCAACAACAGTGACCTGATGCCATGTAAACATACCTGCAAGAGCAAGCACAATGCTGTTTAAGAGCCTTTTAAGTGCTTAAACAGCTTGGTACAAAAATACTTTATCCAAAAAATGCGAGCACTATATTCTTTTGAAATTATTTTGGTACAAAAATATCATATCATTCTTGTAACTCATAAGAGCAGTTTTAAAATACAAAATAAATACCTCAGTTTTTACTTTCTTCCTGCAAGTTCATTAAAAACTGAGTTTACATTATAGGATTTGAGGTTCTAGCAGTGGTGGTGGGTGATCTTAACGCCATGTGGTCTGTTGATAGTCAACCAAACTTTTGGAGGAAAACATTGGTTGACTTTCAACAGACTACACAATGTTATAACCCTGAAGATAGAACTCTTGAGTTGACATCCCTTTGCACTGCGTTTCAGCTTAAGATTCTCATATCACTTTATGAATTCACAGAACATTAAAACTGCTCGTGGCAAATACTTTGCTGCATTTCAAATTACCTTCATGGCTTTTGCACCAAGCAAGTTAGCTCAAGCAGGAAAGTTTTTGATATGGATCGGGAGATGCCTGGTTCAAATTGCAGCCAGCGCACGGGCTATGGTGAGGGTTTTCATGGTTTCCTCACCTCCTCCAAGAGAATGTCATGATGGTACCATAAATTATGCCATGGAAGCTTCCTTCAAAATCTGCTCCAATTCATCACTCACTACCATCACACCATCTGGCAATACACAGTCTGAGCTAGTGATGGTGACAACATAAACAAATTCATGGCTCTTACCCATATTGAAAGGAAAGGGATGATGGTAATATGGCTCAGGAGTGAGAGTGAGTCTTAATTTGATGCTGCTTTCTCATCTGCACAGGTTAGTTGACTGCATGACAGCAAACAATTAATTGGGAAGGATGTTGGGGTAGTGGTTGCAGCCTGTTTAAGGTTCTGTCCCTGTACCTTCTCAAGTGCAGTCCTGAGTTTCATGTCTCCTCACACTTACCTAAACAAAGATAATAAATTGTGTCTGGAGCATATTCACTGCCATTAGGTTTCCTAACTTCTTTGACAAATAAGCAAAGGGAGTAGTTGAGTTCATCTGCAGTCAACTGGAGAATCTCGGGCTTGAAGAGTTTCAGTTTCCTGTTGTTGGATGCAGCTTTCTCAAGCTCTGCATTCTTTGCCATCACCCACTGTCGCCAAGCATTCACTCCGAATGTATACTGCATGCATAACAGTGAATCTTTAGAAAAACAGTTTGCTTTATCACTTTTCAATATGGTTCATTTTATTTCCAACCTCAATCCTACCAGCTACAAGTTAATTTGTGCAAAAATTAAGAAATTAACACTTTGCTATTGGAAAATATAAAACTTTTTCCATCTGTTGTTCCTATATGGAAATTACTAGAATATATGTCAAAGAACATAAACAGCAAAGTACTCATCATGTGATCACAACATTGTAAAGTTGGTGGCCCTAGGCTTCCAACAGCGGACACAAAAGGATATACAGGGTGTCCCAGGAGGAATGGACCAAACTTTGGGAGGGTGTTCCTTATGTTAAAGTATGCCGATATAACCCAAAACACCTATATCCAAAGTTGAACGGTTACGGAGATAATGGCCAGAGAAGTGTCAAACTTTGACCGGTGTTACACACTTGTTGATTTCAAAATACACATTAAAACTGGCAGGAATATGTGGATTCTGTAACGTTAATCACTATACATGACACATGAATGGCAAGCACTGGTGTAACATGACTGACTGCATATTCTGCTATAAGCCAACTACATAAGTACTAAAATACAGTACCTGCTTTATGGTAATTGTTCAAAGTGTCCTCCGCCAGCTGCAATGCAGTTTTCGGCACGCATCATGAGGGATTGGGTAGCAGAAGCAATGTTGCCTGAATGGTGACGTATGTGCTCTGCCGCTGCAAAAATACGATTCCGCAGTGCTTCTCGGGAATCGACCTTAGTTTCGTAGACTAAGGTCTTCATGTGGCCCCAGAGGTAATAATCTAGAGGCGTAAGATCTGGCGACCTCGGTGGCCATGCAATGGGACCACCACGACCTATCCAGCGGTTAGGGAA